GTCGGCCGAGAACAGACGGAAGATACTGGAAGACAGAATACGACAGCATCTGTACAGACATGTTGAGGTGAACCTGCTTAACATTTGCTGTTTTTACCCACTTTTTCACAGGAATGCCAGCCTCGGCCGTCAGCTGTAACGTCAGTCTTGTGTACCTGTGAAGAACAGAACGAATCATGATCACACACAGCCTGAACAGACAGACTTCATAGAGAATTGGCCAGTCACCGATAATAATGGGCTGTGCTGCGGATACTTACTAGTACTAATGGATAAAGCCTCGTACTCACACATGCTATTTATTCATTTCACGTCTCCCCTTACACACACTCACACTCTCTCACACACACACACACACACACACACACACTCTCTCACACACACACACTCTCTCACACACACACACACTCTCCCTCTCACACACACACACTCTCTCTCTCTCTCTTAAGCGTTTTGAAAAGTGGGGACATGGGGTAATGTCCTGAAAAGTCACCTTCTCCTTGTAATACCTGTCATACCTTTGTCATTATACAAATTTGTGTCCTCATAAACCACATAAACATACACACACACACACACAATCATAATTCAACACAACACAATAGGGCTAAATTTACACTAAATACAACATTTAAACCTCATTTAAAAAAAATAATAATATGATGACATACTGCTGCATTGAGCTACTGTACATATTTCCTTATATACAGTAACGAGTGCATCGGACCAGCTTAACTACTGATTTATAGTTATTTACGCTGGTGAGCACGTGCATTTCTGTGCTGGTGTGTGTGTGTGTGTGTGTGTGTGAGTGTGAGTGTGTGAGTGTGTGTGTGTGTGAGAGTGTGTGAGTGTGTGTGTGAGTGTGAGTGTGTGAGTGTGTGTGTGTGTGAGAGTGTGTGAGTGTGTGTGTGAGTGTGAGTGTGTGAGTGTGTGTGTGTGTGAGAGTGTGTGAGTGTGTGTGTGAGTGTGAGTGTGTGAGTGTGTGTGTGTGTGAGAGTGTGTGAGTGTGTGTGTGAGTGTGAGTGTGTGAGTGTGTGTGTGTGTGAGAGTGTGTGAGTGTGTGTGTGAGTGTGTGAGAGAGTGTGTGAGTGTGTGTGTGTGAGTGTGTGAGAGAGTGTGTGAGTGTGTGTGTGAGAGTGTGTTTAGATAGTTTACATTTCCCACACTGCTTCTCTCCCATCCCAGAATGCTTTGCAATGGTATTGAAGCATGTAAAAAGCACAAGACTTGTGTCTAAAAACAGTCCGTGTGCAAAAAACTATCGTTAACTATTCAGCTGTAAGTGGCTTTTTGCAAATAATTAATGCAGCTGGACTCTTTCCCGGCCAAAGTCACAGCCGTCCTGATTTACGATCCGGTGTGGGAGAGCGGCATCATGGGATTGAGTCCCGGACCTTCATCATGTGACCAGACGGCCGCGGTCATGCTATCGCTACGCACCGGCTGAGCAGAGTTAATACTCAACCAGCTCACGCTAGCAGATGTTACGTGAAGCCTGGAAGTCATTTAGACTCGCAGCAGCGCTGAGTCTGTGAAGAAAGGCTGATTTTCATTTTCGTTTCAGTGTCAGAACCAACAGATGTGAGCTAGAATGACCAACACAACGGCTAACACATGCTGCATCATTATAGTGTGAAAAGCCTCATATTCACTGGTCCAGGCATTTTATTTTGGAGTTTTACAAAACCTCTGTGTATGTGAAATGAGAAACATGTGTTGTAAAGTGTGTTCATGACATCATAAACTCATCTCTTTCTCAGAGGAACGGGAGACACTCACACTTTCTCCAGACAGGATTCTCTGGACATGTTCTGAGCCAGCAGGTTCGACGCCAAGCTGAAAAGCTCTTCGGCCCACTCCTAAACACACAGAAAACATACATCACACCAACACACGTTATCAAGTCTGGATGAACTTTAGTGCTTGAAGAGACTCGATACAAAAGACAATCAGCAGCCGAATGCAGGAAAGTTCATTAACATGATCTGAATGAGAGAACGGACAAAGACCATCATAAATATCATCACAACGTTCATTAGTTCCCATCAGCGTTAGTGTTTTCTTTCAGTGGTGTTTGTGGCTCTGATAAAGTGAATCAGACGATGTCTATCAGCACCAAACTATCGGTTCATGTTCTTGTTGTTTCTCTGTGATCAGAAGAAAACTGCATGATTTATTGGTGTATGTGCTGGATTTCTATCTGTTGCTGCATATTTGTAGCTGATGTTTTTGGATTTCTTGATGACTTATTCTAAAATTAGGTTAATGGTTATGATTGTTTCCTAAAGCAAAACGCACCTTTCAAAATAAATGAACAAGATAAATTATTTTGTGAAATTCCTTTAGGGAGTGTCACTGAAAGAGAGCCACTGAAGGTCTGATAGTTGTGTGTTTAGAGACTGAACACAAGGCTGTCAGGACACCGGGGGGCTTCTGCTCTGCGGCTCGTATGCAATATTAAGCACATCATCTCATATCTAGTGTGTTTCTCTTCTCAGCGCAGTGTCTGTTTCTAAGTGTCAGAGCAGACGTTACCTTGGCCACCTCTTCGTTGAAGGCTGTAAAGTTCAGGCAGGTGATGTTGACCATGTCTGCACCGCTGACCACTGTGAGTGTCCGGTTCTCCAGCCTCCCCTCCAGAGTCCCCACATCCAGAAGCTCTCGCTGCTTGGCCTCCTGGAGTAAACACCGCAAACACATCATGCAAACGATTGAAAACGGTTGTCAAACCTGTTGAGGAGACGATACGATAAATCTGTGAAAGGGTCTGATTTGGTGCTGATTGGTCAGTCCATCCTTCTTCTGGTTCAGTGTACCCAACTATTCTTCCAGACAGATCAACACAACAAACGTTCACTAACTGAACCAATCAAACAAAGACAAACACTGCAAAGCAACCTGTACTCAGCCCATCACATCTCACTCGGCTTTTACTGTACCGTTACTGAAGCCACCACGAGAACATCACAGAACTGAACTGAGCTGAATAATCACACTATCGTCTTGTGTAGAGCTAATGCAGCATCATTTGAATTTGTCACATATTTGATCAAGTTTGCACCATTTTCCAGTTTGATTAGACCAGTGTATTTGTGGACAGAGGTTCAGACTGCATCTGCGCAGGTGTTTTGGTGCAGGTCAGACTCACATTTGCATGGCATAAACATTCATCTCAGAGCTGGACTGCAAATGCACAAAGCCCTGACCTGCAGCGTCTGACAGACAGTAAAAATGAACTGGACAGCATGCAGTCGCACACATAATCAATAAAATGAAAAGTGCCGATTTAAACGACTATCAATCACACAGAGCGCCTGCGCTCATTCTGACATTCATCCCAGGCTGAAAAATCACTGCCACTTTGTCAGAGCACTGTTAATATAATGCTGAACTGGTATTGTTAAGGGTTAGATTACTGTTATAAAAATCAGCCGCATCCAAAAGGTAAAGTGGGAGGTGTTGCTACAATTTATAGTAATATTTTCAGTATTGCTCAGTGGCCTGTAGCACGAAGTGAGATGAACAAACTCAAGAGTTGCAGAGTAAGTTTTGAGTTGACAAAACCCGATAAAGCCAACCTGGTTAAGATCAGGTTCACTGGGCTCACAAAGCTCAATATAAACCTTCCCTCCCAACTCAGAGTTTGAACCAGAGTTTGTGATTAACTCTGGAGCGCATGCACCTGAACGTGTGACACGTGCAGCAAACAGCCAATCACAGGGAACGTGTGGAGAGCATCAGCAAAGCGTCAGCTGGATGCACGTCTCGCGAGAGTCAGCGCAATTCACTTTTCTGCTGAAGATTAATTTGGAGTGAGAGATACGGGGAAGTGGCTTCATTGCATCAGATATACGTCACTTTGCTCACAGCTGATTGGTCCAATTCAGTGTTGCCAGATTGGGCGGTTTTGAATTTGATTGTGCGGGTAAAAATTGGCTTGGGTGGGTGGACAAAATCTGAGCTGGTTTGGGATCAGTTTGGTGGTTTTCAAACATATAAATTGCATAGGCTAATTGTTTAACAAACAAGCCCAAGTGTGCATGTACTGCATCCAATCAGTCATCACAACGTTACTAAACACACACACACACACACACTGCAGAGGCGCTGGTGCTGATGCTGATGTAAACGTCGACAGCCGCACTTATCACGAGGGCTCAGCAGACAGACGTTATGATTCATAAGTGACAAGTTTTTAGTGTTATAAGTTATAACGTATCTGATTTTGAATGTAGTATGACTGTATAGTCAAGTTATCACAATGCCTAAATATAAGATAAAGAGTGGGAGAGTGACTCTCTCAAAACGTGAATTATTGTGGAGTGAGATGACACGAAGGCTCTATCACTGCAACTCCGAAATCAGAGCACATCTGAATTAATCATAACCGAAAATAAATATCTCGGTACATACGATCCTGTCTTTTTTCTTTTAAACAGTCCAGGGATGCGTTTCCCAAAAGCATCGTTAGCTAACTATGGTAGTTAGTTCCACTGAAATCTATTGGTAACGACGGAACTTGCGACCATAGTAGCTTTTGGGAAACGCACCCCAGATTGATAAATCCTTGAAAACTGCTAGACTTGATTAGTTTCGACTGTGCAAAGTTCTGTATTATGTTCTACAATATGAACTTAATCGAGTTCTGTGTAAAATTATAGAGCAACATGAAGGTAAGCGCATTATTGTTGTTGTTATTTATTTTTTAATTGTTGGATTATAATTCAGTATGTATCAGTTTTGACTGTCCTGATGTGTGCATGAACGAGTGTGAAATACCTGCTAATTACGTTGCTTTTTCCTATCACTTATATTGGGCACTTTTTGCATTTAAATTGGATTATTCTGACTGCTGACACTGAAAATGATGCATATGTTGTTTTGAGGGTATCGGTTAATATATTATTTTATTCATGAAATAATAAAACCCGCTCAAAACCAACCCACCTTCTTGAGCCTGAAAACTCAAACTTAACGTGAACTTACCCGTGGGTAAAAACTGAAACCGGTTTCTAGAGATGCACCGATCGACCGGCCTGGGACCGGAATGAGCCGATTTTCCTCTGTCTGCCGATTCTGAGCCAGTCTGTTTTGACATCACACTTACTCTCACATCCGCATGTAAACATGTCTTTTCTCGTGAGAATGATTCTAATTTTAATTGCATTCAGTGTAAACGGCGACTGATAATGTATTTATGTTGTGCCAGATGAGTGAGAGAGATTGAGACTCGTGCAGAAATCAAAACGAATTAGCGCAACAGCACACACAAAGTAACTCATAGAAAGTTATAGACCCCTTTTCAGTTAGTAAACACGGTGATGTTTTTCTGTGGCCGGAGCTGGATTCCCTGACCGCTTCACTAACGCTAGCTAGGAAGTTTTGTTAGCTTATTTTGTAACAATGACTGGAGAAACCCCGATTTGACCTGAATATGTACGGTCACTCACTGCCACAGCGATTGTTATTTGAAAAAGTGAACTTTAACGGACGAAAGCAGACTAGCCGACCCGTACACTCAGATCGGCCAGGATTACCTCCGGTTGAGTGACTCATTCACCCCTGATAGAGACACCTAACGAGTATAGTAAAGAGAAATTCACCTGTGTCTATCTAGTCATGAAGATGTAGTTCAGTGTCAGCAGGCTACTATTTTTACAGCTACACGAGGGTGAACTGGGACAAAATACAGAAAAAGTTCAACATTTAATGTGATGGATATATTATTTGAAGATGTATGTATGTAATGGCCAAATAGTTATTTTAAAGTATACCTCCTGTAAATAATGTGAGTTTACAGTGACATTACAGTACCGTTACATTACTTTACATACAATACAATTAAAGATGTGAATATTTTCTAGAAATAAAAAACCCACAAACGGCAAATTTTCAACTTTCTGTATTTGATTATTCTTTCTTACCAAGTTCTTAAAAATTCCAGCCACAATCAATCACAATGTATATACAATTACAGGTGATTTAAGCATATAAACCGTCAGTTTGCTGTTTTACACACATGCACAGACTTTCATACACGACAAAGGCTACTCTTGCATGTTGTGAGATGCATAAGAAATCTTTAGACGCGTAACACAAACCATAATCCATAACAACAAAAGACAATACTTTATTTAACCTTTTCTGATAAGAAGTGTGCGCTGCAAACGCAAGCATTTTTGGCGATTGTTTCTGTCCGGTCCGCTCGTTTTATTGCGTTCTTAACCACAGCTGTGGTGGGTTTTTTGTCTGGCAGTGGCAGCAGATATGCGATAAAATGTCAAATTGGAGCCTGTACTCCGTCGATTCTGGCACCCAACATCACAACAAGATTTAAGCTCCTTATATAGTCGAATCTGTGCTGGTTTGTTTTGCCTCCAGCTAGCGCTGTGACGTAATTGTGACGTCGGCACTAAAAGGATGCCTACTGCCGTAGAAAAAAAAACCATATTTATGAAATATGATTTAAGTAAGCAACATTACACGACCAAGATGTTTCCCCGAATATCAATATCAACACGATTGCAATGTGACACTGATTTTATACAATAGTAGTTCAGTAAACAAGAAGTTAAAATGAAGTGACTTACATTTTAGACACCTAGACACCTACATCTACTGTTTTTGCTCAATTTCACAAACGAAAATCGTTCCAATCAAAGCCACAGCAGAACTGATGTGTGTCTCCGAGCAACACAGCGGTGATTCGCTACTGAATGAATCCACGTTTTTGAACGAATCGAGTGAGTCAATGATTCAGTGACGCATTCATAAAGAATCACTTGCCTCGTTTCTGAATGAATCAGGCCGTTTGAACGAATCGGTTGAATGAATGACTAAATGACTCACTCATTAAAACATTTGCCGCCACCTACTGGTGCTTTGATCGTATTTAAAAGTATCATTTTCCCCAACATTTATTTGTATGTTTAAAAAATATGTAAAACATTCATCTTATAAAATTATTTATGCATTTGAAATGTTGAGGTGTAAATGCATTTATGGTTCCTCAGCTTCATCATACAGTCTGTAAATAATATCGGACCTAAAACCTCTGCATGTAATAACCTAGAACACTGTCTAACACTTGAAGGCTGCTCTGTCAGCCCTGAGTGGTTCCTTTTCCTATTTAGCGTCCAAACTCTGGAACAATCTACCTAGAAATATAGAAATAATATAGAAATAAAGGTGATTTGATTTTGACTAAGCAGTCAAACCACGACTCCTTCATAACCATCAGAATAGTAACGTGCTCCATGCTGATGTCACTGATCCCTTATTTATATCCAACTGTCATATAGAGACACCTTTACCATCCAATCAATCAAAATCAACGCACTAAAGCGCAGTCTACATGAATATCCTTCATCCATTACAGAAGTAAAATGACCTGCAAACATGTTTCATGACATCATGACATTCGCACACAGGACTGAATTAGTGCACTGGTGCATTGGTGCATTGTGGGAAGACTGGCCTTAAAGTTCTGTTGCCGTGGCGATTGAGGCTCGTAGCCTGGCAGGGGCCCGATGTCTCGATGTCTCAGTCCTGTGTGTGTGTGTGTGTGTGTGTCTGTGTGTGAGTGTGAGTGTGAGAGAGTGTGTGTGTGTGTGT